TGGTAATGGCTAGAAAACAGTACATTTCTTAAATTTCTTTTGCTACTATTCTTCTTTCAAATTCATGTCAATTGAAATTCTGAATTGCATAAAACAAATCCACTTAACTGAAAAATATTTTCACTTAATAGGGTGTTTAGAACTCTGTGAAGCTTTTTGAGATCTTTCAGAATAGCAGATTCTAATGAGGATTTTTTAAGCTAGCTATTTAAAACTCATGTAATAAACACAAATTAACTAGTGTAGCTGGACAGATTATTTTCTCAAATATGACAGTTTGCTTTTTCCTCTGGGTTGTGTCTGTGGTTGATATATTGTTGATATATTTATTGAGCTATATGGGCTCATTTCCTTTCATCCCAACACATGGATTGATGGTTTAAAATAATTCCTTTCTATTAAGTGAATGTGTGGGTAAGGCACATTTAAACAGCCTATTAAACCAATGAGATGAAAATGGGTTACCTCAGAGGAAAGCTTAATTTTTGGAGTAATTAATTACACATACCACAGAATGTCACAAGAGAACATTTTTTTGGCCAGGTCTACCAATTTATCATGCAAATAATTTTAGTTTTCCATTTGTGGCAAAGATGCTGATTCATCATTAGTCAGATGGTAACACATCATCATTTATTTATTTATTTTCATTTTGTAACACTTGTCTTTCCAATGGGAAAAGATACCTATAGCATCTTTCTTAAGTATAGGAAAGACATACACAAATTAGGCTCTGTGCTTATTTACATAGGCTATGAGTTGGAATCGACTTGACAGCAACAGATTTGGTTTGGTTTTATCTGTTTATTTGTAGTATGAAATATGTATACTTCACAACATAAAGCCAATTAGGTATTCTTTTTTTTTTTTTTTTTTAAGAATGATATAAAACTGTGTTTCTAAATCACAGCACCTGCTGTTTTTTTCAGTGAAATTTTACAGACATTTTGAAAAGGAAATTGTGAGGCTTTTGGCTCCTTGTCTCTTTTTAATATTTGTAAATCTAGTTGTCGTAATATATTACAATGGTATAATTATTTTTAATGTTCTAATAAACCTCTTCAAATTTACCAACATGTATATGCCATTCTTGAGGTAGGTTACCATCACAAGGTATACTGTAGTATTTTCCTTCAAACTCCTTCATTATACCAGTGAAGCTTCTGACTGCATACAGTCTGATCAACTGTGCAGAAATACATTAAAAATTTCCATTATGTCACTTTTTACCACCTGAAGACCCTTCTGATGTTTTCTGCAGGACACAGTGTGCAGAATACAGGCCTGGATAGTACAGGGCCCATCATAGGAATGTTCCTCGGCAATTTTTATTACTGTGTTAACTTTGGACAAGTCATCCACCTCATTCTCTCATTTCTCAAATAGGTTGTTTTGGGAATTCAATTAAGGAAAGGAAAAAAAACAAATAAAACAAACAAAAACTGTGAAAAAGTCTAGCACAGTGCCTGCAGGCACAGATGTTAGCCGCATCTTAATTCTTTCCTAAGGGATAAAATGGCTCTTTTTCTCATGATGCCATTAATAGCAAAGCTTTAGGTCCTCCTTGTAATTGTGACTGTTCAATTTATTCAGATACGCTGCCAGCTAATGCTTTCACTGGACCCAGGATTAATGTAGATGACAAATTCTTAAACTTTAGGGTACACAAGTATCAACTGGAAATCTTGCTAAAGATGACAATTTCTAGGCCTCACTTCCCTAAATCCACATTTTGAGAAACACTAATTAAATTGCTGACTTAATAGAGAACTAACACATCCTCTCATCAAAGTATTATGCCTAATTCCTCCTTCCTGACTTCTGGTGTCATACAGAGACCCTTCTCACTTCCCCTCAATACCCAGTCTCTGTATCTTTTGCCTACATTCCCTGGGGCAGTTCTGTTTGTCAGGTATAGGCAGAGAATGAGCTAGCCCTGAACTAAGAGCAGTGCTCCTAGCCCATACAGCATCTGACAGAATGGCTGGTTACATAGAAAGCTCTGGAAAAGACCATCTGTAATCCTATGTCCTCGGGGAGAGAGCAGGATAGTGTATGAGAAAGTAGGAAAGCTTGAATCTGGTAGTACTTTTGCCACTAAATATATGACTATGTCCAAGTTTCTTAATCATTCTGGCTTCAGTTACTATATCTGACGAGGGTAACAGCGTCTTCCCTGACTGAAGGCAAGATCCTAGAGCTTGGACAAGAATGTCTCTTGGGCTTCTTTTTGACTCTAGGATTGATGCTTTCCTGCAAATGGCAGTGGCACATATATACCCCGCCTGAATCCAAATTTCAGTCCTGAACTTTTGCCACAACTTCCTGGGAGGAGAACCATCTGTGATTCTTTATGTCCAGGCACCAATCTATATATGAAGAGTTGTGAGAGGAGCAAGGTACTTATATGCCTCAGCAACAATTTAAACATACTACTAATTCACAGAAAACACTTACTATTAATTTTCTCAGGGTTTCATTTACTTGATTCTATGAGGAAAAAAATTAAAATGATAGAAGTTTGGAGGAATCCTGAGGTAATAGACGACAATGGATTTGGTGTTTTTTTTTTTTTTTTTGGTTTGAGGTAATTATAGCATAGCAGTAATGCTGCTAGTTAATAGGTTTGCTGCAGTCAATCAAACAGCAGCTTCTATAGAATTGTTGGACATCTGTTTTAATTATAATTTAGTTTCTTCATATAATCCCTTAAATAGACTACTAAAAACATGTTACTTCACAGTTAACTGCTTTTCAAACACCAAATACCACATAACTTAGAAGTGAAAAATATAGGCTGTTAAGATTTTTATCTGACCAATGTGATTTATTGTAGGTATACCTACCGTCTGTAAATGAAAATGAAAAAGAAGAAAAAAACATCATCTGTTCTCAATGCTATTGCAGGTTAAGGGGATAAATTTATTGAGAATTTTCCTCCAAAATGTTAAACTACCAAACTGATAAGAGTTTGTCTTGGTTTGTTTGTTTTAAATACATTTCTCAATGAACATGTTGAAACCTGATTAAATATTTAAGACTCTTTGGTATAAGGCATTCTATTATCTGGCCCCTCATGTGTCCGTACGTGTATTTCCACCTCTTTTCTGCTCTCCATCTCTAGCTTACTCTCTGCAGAGCAAGATAGAGCACTCGTGTTAAGGCAAGCAGGAGCCTGGTCGTTTTAGGCTTTTCCTACAGACAGTCCTTAACATGGCAAACATTTTCAAATAAATAGGTTTTACTTACAAAAAACTGTAAAAAAGCCTAATCTCTCCTGTAAAAAATATGTGAACATAGGCAATTCAGATGAAAAAGGATTTGTGCTTGAAATATCTAGCTAATTGCCTCAATTCTCTACTTTGCCTTCAGCATAGAAATAGTGCTGTGGAAGGAACAGCTGACCCTTATAAATCAATTAATCAATCCTGATTAATTCCTTCCCCTCAACGTTAACTTTCCTTTAAACTAAGATTCGTTTTATGCTCAGCCATAAAAAGTATACGGAGTGTCCGTGATGTTGTTCTAGCTGTGTGTTATGGGGAAGTGTGTTTGAGTGTTTCATTAGGTAGAGAAAAATTCATATCAAATATTCTGAGGGTATGTTTCCTAAAAGAAATTGCCTTATCCAATGCCAGAAGAACAATTTTCAAATTAATTTCTAAAGGTAAGCTACAAGTTTAAACTGTTACCTAACAGGCAGAATTTTCGAGTTGGAGAAAATAGTGAACGCTAGGCACATCTAATGATATTGTCAATGTGAAAAGCTTCATTCTTCCCATGAGAGAAAAATTGAAGCGTGGAAAAGACACACAGTCACACTGAATTTTCTGTGTAACATTAGAAGCATGGATATTTTCTACATTTTCATCTTAGTCACACTTTAGGGTTAAAGAAGGAAAAAAAAAATAAGAGTTTCTTCATAAAATTAAGAGCTTTCCTTTGATCAGAACAACTATTTCTTTCAGAGTAAGTCCTTTTTGTCAGTGATGGAAATAGCACTCTGATGCTTTTTAAGATATTTTGAGTTTTCAAAGGGAAACTTGGCTACTTTCCTATGGAAATTATGTATTATTCTGAGAAAAGTGCCTTATAGCTAGGTTTCAGAAAAGGTACAAGAAGGAAAAGTAATGTGAGATGCTTTCATTTTACAGTAACCTCTGTTTCAATGGTTCCAACAGAAATAAAAAAAGGAAATATTTTCTCCTGCATAAGGCATACATCAGTCCTGAAATTCTTACAAAATCAACTGAGGCAAATTAGGGGTTTCAAAGCTAGTCACCTTGAAAGTCGTTAGCAAAAAAAAAAATTTGCATTTAAATTGCTCTGTGCAGCTAACTTGAGATTCTTCCCTGGAATGTTTATGGCTTTTTTTTTTTTTTTGGTTCCTTTAATACTTCAAAAATACAATTTGATAACCAGTGTATTACTACATCTAGTTGTGTTCAGAACAGGCACTTCATTTCATAAAATAAAAACATTCAAAGTGGCTTTGGTCAACCAATCACTCAATCAGAATACTTGAAGTCTTCATATTGAACACTTAATAGTGAAGTTAATCTGAAACCACATCCATTCTCCATTTCTATTACAGAAACTAGGTTGTTAATAGCTCTAACACAGGGAATAAGTTTTGTTCCTATGTTTTGTCCATAGGAGTGAAGATTGTCCAGAACTTCTTGGGATCCTTTTCCCCCAAAGCATTTTGAATATAAATACAGCAGATTTCTTTTTAATAGATAAATCTTTAGTATTATTTAGTTATTTAGTTATCTAGTTATTTAGTATTATAACTTTCTTTTATGTATACAGATATATAGATATAAGAGAAATATTAAATGTGCAAAATGCTCTATTTATATGTACATTAAAAAAATACAATGTAATAATGCAATGTAAAAAAGCCATTGAGGGGGAAAGTCTTCAACGTCAGAAATTCTGGTCCGATTAGAGCTTTTGCTTGTGGAATTGTAAACAAACTTAAAATGCTGAGAGTTTTCTCAGTTCTTTCCAACTAAGCCACTCTCAAACACATCAAGTCCTGCTTTGAAGTAAACCTGAGCTGAATTAATGCTGTTCAACACCTCTGACAGGGCTTCCTGAAGGGTTTCATTTGATGGAAGTGATCTGCAGTGTTCCCAAGCCTCCAGGATTATGGAAAACTGGCTTGTCTTCTCATCTAGGTGGTACAGGATGTTTCTAAAAGAAAAATATGGAATGTGTCAATGTTTTATGCACAATGCCATTTTCATATTCACTTTAATGAATATTTCCAAGAAACAGTAATGTCTGTATTAAGTGAAGAAGTAGTAAAGATACAATATTCACCATTTTCAGCCCTTAGTGAGTGAATGGATAGACACTGATCATCAACAGTTCCCATATTGATGAGAGAGAAAGAGATAATCAGACATTATGTGTCTCCTGACGGAAGTGCACAACTCTGCCTATGAGGTAGAATAGTTTTGCTAAAAAAAAAAAATTTTAATTAATCTGAGCCTGATGAAGCCTTTAGATCTAACTATTAATAAATAGAGAGGAAAAAGAAATATACTAAATGACACCCAATGTATCACAGCAAAATATAGACTGTGGGAAACTATAGGGAAAATTATTCAACAAATGAATGGCAATGAAAAAAAAAAAACAGGTGAAGGTTCAAGCTCTAGACCAGGATTTCTCAGTCTCAGCACTCCTGGCATTAGGCCTGGATAATTCTTTTTTTCTGAGGGGCTGTCCTGTGCATTGAAGAATGTTAATATCATCCCTGGCCTCTACCCTCTAGATGTTAGTAGCACCCCTTCCTTAGTGTGAAAATCAAAAATACCTCCAGACACTGCCAAAAATGTTTCTTGTAGAGTAAAATTACCCCTAGATGAGAACCACTGGTCTAGACTAAAAGAAACATCAATTAGTTGCAAAATACACAGCTTGCTAGATCTTTACTCAAACAGTTTAAAAAATGAGAAGTACTATAAAGTTAAATACTAATTGAATACTTAATGATACTAAGAAACTATTCATATTTTAGGTGTGATAATGGCATCATAAGTATGTTTTTTAAGGTGCTTTTATCTTCTAGAAATAAATACAGTCATGTTTGCAGATGAGATGTTACCATGTCTGGGATTTAATTAAAAATATTGGGAGGAAAGAAAGAAAAGTGGGGCTGTAGACAATATAGACAGGACAAGATTGACCATTAGTTAACAGTTGTTGAAACTGGGCATGGAATTCATTATACTATTCTCTCTCCTATTGTATATGTTGGACATTTAGAAAACCATCTTCTCACTAGTATGAGTGTGTAATAAGATGGTGCCTTGTGCCTCAGCCGAATTGCTGAGAAAGAAGAATTTGGCCTTGGGCAAGTCTAAAACTGTCCCCATTATTTACTGATAGAAAGAGATTTAGTTTCGCAGAAAGCTATCATTATTGCACTTGACTTTTTCCCAGCCCAAACTAGCTGAAAGTCCATAATCTGATATGAGAGGCAGATATGCAAATAACTGAAATCCAGTTCACCAATTGTCATAGTAAAAAAGCAAGTTCTAGTGATAACAGATAAAGGACTGCCGCTGAGAAAGGTTGGAAAGAGATTCCTAATAGAGGATACTTGAGTTTCATCTTGAAGGCTGATGGGAGTTATCAGTTACAAAGGGTTTGGGAAAGGAACCAAGCTAGATGAGGTGGAGACAGCATCCTTTGCAGGTGTTCTCAGTGAACTCAATGCCTGTGCTTCTGTATGATCAAAGTAAAGGACCAGAGTGGGCAAGTATAAGAGAAGAGGTGAGAGAATAAGTCACGGCTTATTCATAAAGGATCATGTATACTAAGGTATTGTTGTTAGGTGCCATCGAGTCGTTTTCGACTCATAGCACCCTACCTAAAACAGAAGGAAACACTGCCTGGTCCTGCGCCGTCCTCACAACACTTGCTACATTTAAGCCCACTGTTGCAACCATTTTGTCAATCCATCTCATTGAGGGTCTTCCTCTTTTTCACTGACCCTCTATTTACCAAGCATGATGTCCTTCTCCAGGGACTGGTCCTTTCTGATAACCTGTCCAAAGTATGTGAGACGAAGTCCCGCTATCCTCACTTCCAAGGAGCACTCTGGCAGTACTTCTTCCAAGACAGATTTGTTTGTTCTTCTGGCAGTCCATGGATATTCAATATTCTTCGCCATCATAATTCAAAGGCATCAATTCCTTTTCGGTCTTCCTTATTCATTGTCCAGCTTTTGCATGCATATAAGGTGATTGAAAACACCATAGCTTGTGTCAGGCGCACCTTAATCTTCAAGGTGACACTTTTGCTTTTTAATACTTTAAAGAGGTCTTTTGCAACATAGTTGCCCAATGCAATGCATCGTTTATGTCTTGACTGCTGGTTCTATGGGTGTTGATTGTGGATCCAAGAAAAATGAAATCCTTGCCAACTTTAAACTTTTCTCCATTTATTGTGATGTTGCTTATTGGTCTAGTTGTGAGGATTTTTGTTTTCTTTATGTTGAGGTGCAATCCATACTGAAGGCTGTAGTCTTTGATCTTATCAGTAAGTGCTTCAAGTCCTCTTCACTTTCAGCAAGGAAGATTGTGTTATTTGCGTATCGCAGGTTGTTGAAGAGTCTTCCACCAAACCTGATGATGTGTTCTTCATATAGTCCAGCTTCTCAGATTATTTGCTCACAATACAGATTGAGTAAGTATGGTGAAAGGATACAACCCTGACACACACCTTTCCTGACTTTTAACCATGCAGTATCCCTTGTTCTTACCAAGTTAAGGAAAGTAAACTTTTTCTTATGGGCAATAGGAAACCAGTGAAATATTTTTTTTGTTTATTGTTGTAGTTTAAGTGAAAGTTTACATTTCAGGTTGGTCTCTTATACAAAAATTTATACATATGTTTTTATGTGACCCTAATTGCTCTTCCTATACTGACAGCACACTCTTCCTTTCCACCCCTGATTTCCCATGTCCATTCAACCAGCTCCTAACCCTCTCTGCCTTCTTATCTCACCTACAGACAGAAGCTGCCCATGTAGTCTCATGTACCTACTTGAGCTAAGAAGGATACTCTTCACGAGTATCATTTTAAGTCCCACAGTCCAGTCCAATCTTTGTCTGAAGAGTTGGCCTCAGAAATTGTTTTAGTTCTGGGCTGATAGAGAATCCAGGGGCCATGCTTTCCAGGGCTCCTCCAGTCTCAATTAGACCATTAAGTCTGGTCTTTTTACTAGAATTTGAGCTCTGCACCCCACCTTTCTCCTGCTCCATCAGGGACTCTCTGTTGTGTTCCCTGTCAGGGCGGTCATTGGTGGTAGCCAGGCACCATGTAGTTCTTCTGGTCTCAGGCTGATGAAGTCTCTAGTTTATGTGGCCCTTTCTGTCTCTTGGGCTAATACTTTCCTTGTGTCTTTGGTGCTCTTCATTCTCCTTTACTCCAGGTGGTCGGGACCAATTGATGCATCTTAGACGGCCGCTTGCAGATGGCCACTCACCAAAGTAGGATGCTGAACATTTTCTTAATAAGCTTTGTTATGCCAATTGACCTAGATGTCTCTTGAAAGCATGATCCCCAGACCCCCACCCCTGCTACTCTGTCCCTCAAAGTGTTTAACTGTATTCAGGAAACTTCTTAGCGTTGGTTTAGTCCAGTTGTGCTGACTTCCCCGGTAGTGTGTGTGTCCTTTTCTTCACCTAAGACAATTCTTGTCTACTATCCAGTTAGTGAATTCCCCTCTCCTGCACTCTCCACCCTCGTAACCATCGAAGAATGTTTTCTTCTGTGTTTAAACCTTTTCTTGAGTTCTTATAATAGTGGTCTTATATAATATTTGTCTTTCTGTGACTGACTAAATTCACTCAGCATAATACCCTCTAGATTCCTCCATGTTATAAGATGGGAAACCAGGGAAGTATTTTAAGCAATAGAGAAAGTGTTCAGATTTTTATTTTGGAATAACTAGTCTGTAATACAAAAGACCATTTAATCCAGACGAAAGACGACAAAGACCTGAATTAGTGACAGTGGAGTTTGAGAAGACGGAATGCATATAAGGGGGAGTAGAGGAGAAGAGCCACAACACTAGGTTTAATTGATTTTCAATTTTCCCTAGAGCTAACCTCAGTTTTATATAATGTTCTAGATCATTGTTTCCCACTCCACCAACACTTCTCTATCTTAGCCTCTCTTGAAATTACCACCCACATCTTTTATTATTTGTACTCTGTAGGTCCCTGGGTGGTGCAAACGGTTTGTGCTTGACTGCTAACCTAAAAGTTGGTGGTTCTAACTCACCCAGTGGTGCCGCAGAAGAAAGGCCTGATGTTGTGATTCTATAAAGATCACAGCCAAGAAAACCCTATAGAGCAGTTCTTCTCTGTAACATAGGGGGTTTCCATGAGTTGGAATTGACTCAACGGCAATGGCAACAGGTAGTGGGTTAGTGAGCATGAAATCTACCTATTCACTCAAGTGAACCCTAAGTCATCTTTTTTTCCTCGAACATCCAACTGGTATTGAATATTCACCTCTTCATCTTTTCAGTGCCTTTTCTTCTCTATTGTGGTGCCCTAATCCCTATACATTTTGTGCATACGTATCATCTCATTGCTTTACACTTCAAGGTAGAGAAATACACTCTTTATCAGGTCTGATTCAGTGCTGCAAACATTGGAGGTCTTCAATCATGGTGATTTAATTCACTTAAAATTTTTATCAGGCTTAGTTTAATGTTGGTAACATAGTAGATACTCTTTAATGTTCAAATTATTTCAATTCAGGTTATTTTACATTGTAAGCCCTGGCTAATTTAAGAACAACAGAATTTGTATCTTTAGAGAGAAATTTCAATCAACAACAAGTACATGGTATGTGGCAGTGAGGGCAGAAGACCCTTGAACCCAGAGGTTCTTACAATGATTTTTTTTTTTTTAAATAGATCATTTGAAATAGGAGCTACCCCTAATAAGCCAGTATCCTTGATCTTTGTGCTTAGGAGTAAACTTGACACTGTACGAATTAAATAGAGCAGATCAAGAAACACTGACTAGATTCCAAATATTCACAAATTCAGGTTTAAGCTTTGTATTAAGAAACAGACATTCTCCAGATATGGGAGGAGGAAAAATCTCCGAAGTGCAGTGGCAAATGGATTGTGAGCAGTATTTTGGCTATATGCTTGCCTAGAG